CTTCTCCGCAGCGGCCATGATTTTGGCCTTTTTGCGTCGTCTCTCTCGTTCCTTGGCGATTCCCACCCGCTCCACACGGTTCCACGGTTGGTCCGCCGCAGCCGGTCCCCTCGTTTCGTTCTCTTTCTGCAGCACCGGATTTCCGTAATCGTCCTTTTCCAGGATGGTGTCCGGCATTGCGATTTTTTCGSTGGACGCCAGCTCTCTGAGCGCCTCCRCAACGCGACCGCCGTTGCCCTCCGCGGGGACGGCCTTGGCACCGTCTGCGGGAACCTCGTACAGGGCAATGTAGTCGGGATCCTTCATCACCACCGCCAGTTTTTCGTTCGAAAAGTCGATCGCCAGTGGCCGAGACGGACAGTCTATGCTGCCGAGCGATTCCAAAAGGCCGCCGGCCGTGGTGGCGATGCCGTAGAGCTTGAGCGTTTTGCTGCCGTCGAAGATGACCGCCACTTTCGCTGCGCCACCGCCGCCGCCGTTGCACCCCACCGCGATCGCCGTGGGGATCTCGGTGGTCTCCGTGGGCAGGCAGCACAGCTCGGACTGTTTGGCCAGGTCCCAAAGGCGGAGCGTCCTGTCCCCGCCGCAGGAGACCACCAGCGGCGGCGACCCCTGCGCTCGTGCCACCACCGCCACGCCCGTGACGTAGGCCGTGTGGCCCAGAAGGTGCCCCTCGATGATCCAGGATTCCGGAAACCGGCTGATCCGGATCTTTTCGTCCCGGTCGGACGTCAGGAGGAGACTCTTGGAAGAGTCCCCGGCGCCGCTGTCCGCGAGAGCAATGTCCGTGAGCATGCTGGCCGTGTGCCCCAGCAGGAGCTTCCGGCCCCTCGGTTTCCCCGGCAGGATGTTGTAGGCGTGCGAATCCCCCGCGACGTCGCCCGATACCAGCAACGGAGCCGTTTCGGATCCCTTTTCCGCGGAGGGGAGCCTCGCAAAGGCGAAGCAGCTCACCCGTTTCGGCGTCCGGTAGTGGAGCACCGGGGACAGCGACCCGGGCTTCGATGCGCTCGCCTCGGCAGCGTTCAGGGCGTAGACGCCGAGGGACTTGTCGTTTCTGGCAACCGCGCACCGCAACACCGTGTCGCCACCGTCGGTTGGTTCGCTGAGAATGGCGACGGCGCAGATTTCGTTCGGTTGCTGTCCCTCGTCGCGCTTTCGGGGCTGCGGTTGTTTGCCGCCGGCTGCGGGGGGCTTGTTTTCGCCTTCGCTCTTGCTTTTGCTCTCGGCATCCTCGGTAGGTGTGGATGCGGGCTTTGTCCCGGCCTTGGGATTTTCCTGTGGCGACGGCAAGAGCTCTACAACGGTGCTCGTCGCCGTCGCATCGTCGGAACTTCCGCGAGGACCAAAGACAACATACGCCCGGTCCCTAAGTCCAACCAGAAAACAATCCCCGTGTCGATCGATAAGGTGTCGCATTTCGTCCTACAAATGTATCGAGAGCAGCAGYRCTGTATGGTATGTTGCAGCGATAGCTGTGTCCTRTTCTACGTCTTACTGGCACGGTGTAGAAGCCTCCTTCCGATTGCTCGTCCTCTGGCGCGAGCTTGCGGGTTTCTCRGCGAGCCTTCGTGATCGGGGATCCCCAGCAAAGCGTATCGAATCGTACCACCAACCACAACAACCAACGAGCAACACTTTCGATACCAACGATCAGCAAGATCAGGGGGGGGGGATTCAAAAATCAAACCCAGAAGAAAACTTGAAAAAAAAGTGTTTCGTGGTGGTTGGTTGAGGGTCGACGTTCAGACGTGTTTTTGCTCTCACTCCGGTTGCACGGTCGCGCACTCAAACGCGTGAAATATCCGACCGTTGCGTGCTCGTTCGACGGTACTCGTACTCGTACGAGTAGGTACCGGTATGGAAGAAGCGCTGTTCTGCACGTTTCGGTACCTGTGGTACGTACGGGTACGGTTATGCTACGGGTACCAGTAGTTTGTACCTCTGCTCGCTTGGAGCAAGGGAGTGTGAGTGAGTTCCGAACGAGTTGCAACCCTGGATGGCCGGAGCGTAGAATCTACGAGGGGTTTCGTACAGCGCGGTGCGATGCCGCACCCTAGGATCGAAATCCCTCGTTCCAAACAACAGCAGGATTTTGGCACGCCGTCTGTGCTCGTGACTGTTGGTTGGCATCTTCACCTCGTCCCGACGCGCCTCAACATCCCCGACACAGACTGGTGTTAGTGTTACCCCCAACCCGCTGGTTCGATCTTCGCTCTCTCTCTCACTCACACACACACACACACACACACATACGCCATCGGCAACGGAAGATCGCAGTCGTTCGCTACATTCACAGGTCGGTTAAACTATCTCAGTTCTAAACAACTGGGTGAGACCGCAATCCGAAAGCGAGGGAAAGCACACAACAACGCACACTACAATCATCATACAGCGTCGTTTCTTGCAGTCGTCCAAACAACTGTCTAGGCACTTGTGGAAGCAACAACAGCAACATCAGCAACGGAATCACGTTAGTACAAATCTTGGGCGCAGATTCCGCGGTGTAATATCAGAGTCGAGAATGAGTCGGGCTCGGTGAGTCCAGTTCTTCGTAGCTTTTCACTTCGTTTGCTAAGCGAAAACGAAAACGAAACGATAAAGAGAGGCAAACCTCGGATAGACTGTACATTTCCTGAGGAGTGCAGTTGCCATTTCAATACTCGCAGTATACTAACAACACCGGTCTCTTTTTTGTTCTCTTTTGTTCACCCCTTCTCTTTTCGATCAGTGTTTACGCGGACGTCAACGTCCACAGACCAAGGGATTACTGGGATTATGAAGCTCTTACAGTAAATTGGGGCGACCAGGAAGAATACGAAGTCATCCGAAAGATCGGACGTGGAAAATACAGTGAGGTAAGCTTTTGGAGGAAGTGTCGATGTGCTGTGGCCGTCGTTTGTGCACAATTGTTGGTAATTCATTGTTCTGTGTGTGTGTGTGGATAAGTTACTGGTAAAGCTCTGATTCTAACCAAGCCGTTGCTCAAACCAATGAAACGATCACATTCTTAACGTTCTCTTGCGATCAATCGTAACAACAACAACAACAACAACAATAGGTATTCGAAGGTGTCAACGTAGTCAACAGCACGAAATGCGTCATCAAAATTTTGAAACCGGTGAAAAAAAAGAAAATCAAACGAGAAATCAAAATTCTGCAAAACATGTGTGGTGGTACCAACATTATACAGCTTCTCGATGTTGTCCGCGATCCCCAGTCCAARACGCCGTCCCTCATTTTTGAACACGTCAACAATACCGACTTCAAAATTCTGTATCCAACTCTTACCGACTACGATATTCGCTATTATATTTTCGAGCTTTTGAAAGCATTGGATTACTGCCACTCGAACGGAGTCATGCATCGGGATGTCAAACCCCACAACGTCATGATTGATCACGAAAAACGCCAGCTGCGGCTCATCGATTGGGGATTGGCAGAATTCTACCACCCGGGACGTGAATACAACGTGCGTGTCGCATCGCGTTATTTTAAGGGACCAGAGTTGCTTGTGGATCTGCAAGAGTATGATTACTCGTTGGATATGTGGAGCCTGGGATGCATGTTTGCTGGAATGATCTTTCGAAAGGAACCGTTCTTCCACGGACACGACAATTACGACCAGCTCGTCAAAATCGCGAAGGTTCTGGGCACCGAGGAACTCTTCCACTACCTCGACACGTACGACCTGGAGCTGGACCCCCACTTTGACGGAATTCTCGGCAGGCATTCCAAAAAGTCTTGGCAAAAGTTCGTGACCCCGGAAAACCGGCACCTCGTGTCGGACGAAGCGATCGATTACGTTTCCAAGCTGTTGCGGTACGACCACCAAGAACGCCTCTCGGCGAAGGAAGCCATGGCGCATGCCTATTTTGCTCCCGTGCGCGAAGCCGCCATGAGAGGAGGCAATCAATCGTCATCGAGCGGAGGATACGCGGTTTAAAATTACGAAGCAACACTCCCCGCTCCATTTCATTTGCATTCCATTCTTTGATTCCGTTTTGGTCTTTCTTCATTCGACTCCCGGGAACGCGGGTTGGTGATTGGTCGTACCACCTTTTCTGGAGACCAAAAACGGAAGGCACTGCGGCACTAACAAATCAATGAACGATGCTACGATTGAAWACCCATTGCAGCAAAACGATGATAAATAGTAACCGAAATTAATGTTTGTTTCTAAATCATCATAACTCGTCCTTCTTGCTCTCGGAGTCTTTTTTCATTACAAACATGTGACCCCGGACGTCTTTGCCGTGTTCGTGCCGGAATCCGTCGAGGCTTTCGTAATGGAGGATTGCCAAGCCATGGGATCGGCCGATGGCAGCAATATATTCTTTGCGATGGGCGAAACGACCAGAAGCGGTCAGTTGCCACCTCCAATCGGGCTTGGTTTCCGCGAGACTATCGGTAACGCACGGTGCAATAGCAGCCAAGAGAATAGAAAAGTTGGTGGGTGGAATGGTTAGTATGCAATACAACTGGTTCTTCCGAACGAGAAACCCGGTTGYGGCGGCGCCCACTGCACCAAATACCGGAAACAATCGGGAAGGGCCACTTACGTTGCTTCGTCTTCGTTGCTGACATTCTCCAGAGTAAACGCAATGTAGCCGTTGTYACCAAGTCCTTCCTGAATAGAATCAAACAATGGCTCCAAGTCTCCAAAGTAGATAAAGGAATCCGCGGCGACTATGAGAGACACGGGCTTTTTCTCCCGTATGATTTCGGTCACGTCTCCTACGATTCGCTCGTCGTACAATTTCGGGCGGAGTTTCTCGGCCTCGTCGAGGATAGCTTCGCTAAGGTCCACCCCGATCAAGTGGGAACTCACATTGCGGAACTGCGCGTTGGGAAAGATCGAAAAGGCAAAACATTGTCAGCAACAAAAGACTTCGGGCTGCGGCTTATATGTTATGCGTTGCGACAGAAACAGGGAGCAAACGGAACCACGCCAGCAAGATCGACHACGGAACGAATACGAACCTGCTCCCCCACAAGCCCGGTTCCGCACCCTGCGTCGATGACGGTGTCAAACACTGGAACGGATTCTCGGCCACCAAACGATCTGTCGAAGCCTCGACGAAGCCGAGCGTATCCATCATAGCCTAATTCCTCGACGAGAGAGTGTTCGAAACTAGCAGCAATTGATTTTCACCGTATCATGGTTGGTGAGATCACAAACACGAAAGGCAAAATCGATCGAACAACTGCGAACTAGAATGCAACACAACGCAAGGCATCCTCGAGCGACAAAGACTTACTTCTGGGCGTAGTCGTCAAACAGAGTCTTGATATACGAGTTTTCCGCACGCTTCATGGTGGCATCCGCGGTGACGGTAGCAAGCATGTGCTTGGCCGAGCTGTTGTCCGAGTCGAACTGAACCGCTAGAGAAAAGGCGTGCGCTGCCATTTCTTTGCAAGAGACGGGCGTCTGTGGATCCGTGGTGGTAGCGCAACTCCGCTCCAGGTCGTGGCTGAGGCACAGGCCTATCCTGTACTGCAACTGAGAGAGAATAAAACGGGGCTCGGCTGGTGGATCCGTAGCATCGTCGGTTTCGGTCAGTAGCTCGTATGCCTTGTTGTAGGCCTGCAGCGCTTCGTCGAAGTTTTTAAAATTGTCCTGAAATACGCTTCCTGCAATCAATAATTGGAGTAGCAACACAGCAACGAAACAAGCATCATCGAAACAAGTCAATTTCAGTTCCGGGACATGGTATCACTCCGTAGCTGAAAGCATTTGCTTTGAAATCGTCGACATCGCCAACGCACCTAAATTGGCCCATGCAGCCCACAGATTTGGATCCAAAACGACGGCCTGCCCATACATTTCCACAGCTTTCGATGCATCTCTTTCTTGGAGTTCCATGGCATAAAAGAAAGCCGTCTGTGACACGATCGACTTGGCCTCTATGGCATCTTTCTTGTCCTCCATGACTTCGTGCTTTGAAACATATGCCGAAATAGCTCGCTCGTAGTGCGTGAGAGCTTGTTCGTCTTGTCCTCCGATCGTGGAATACGCGGTTGCAAGGTTTGTCTCGAGGGATACCAAGGTCACCAGCGAGGCTGCGTCTGGGTCTTTCYCGACGGCAGCGATACCGCTTTCGTAGAATTCGATTGCCTTTCCGTAAACGTCCATGGAGAGTTCCTTGTTACCGAGGATCAAAAAATCCTCTGGAGATCGTTCACCACTGGCGCGGTCTGGAAACGTCGCCAGCAGGAAGGAAAAGAGGAAGAGGAGGGAATGCCATCGAAGAGCGATCATTGTTGCCGCCAATATTATGCTGCAGAATAATTATCGAGCTACGTTGCGGTGTAATAGAAATGGTGGTAAAGGTGGGGTACAAGGACTAGCTATGTTGATTGTATTTTCTTGCTCTTGGATTTCCCAGAGCGACAGAYGAGATCCTGCTTTTGTATCGAACTGAAACTACGAAAGGGATACGCACTTGCCGATTATCGTACGATACCTCTCCTCCTACCAATTACGAGTAAGAATGTGATGGGTGAATACGTATGAGAGTAGAGAGCACATATGTCATGTGTACAGTACAGTACGATACTGATTGACTAGGTCACGAATAGCTCATGAATAACCTAACTATTCAGCGTGAAACACGTCTTGATTTTTGAATTACCAACATTCATCCATACTCGTAATCGTACCTGTACCTACTCAACCATACCATTGACAAACGTGCTTGTACTGTACGCACGTACCTCAAACGACGTGCCAGTAACTTAAATCGTACTTCTAATCTACTTCTATTCATCAGATATTTCAGATCGGAGAGACCTCARGAACATGAAGTCAATACAACGATGCTCGCTCAACGAAGTAGATTAATATAATGTTCCGAGGGCATGAGAAGAACATTTAAGTACTCATGATCGCGAGAGGTAAGGCATACTGCCTCCTCTGTTCTATTAATGCTTCGTTCTGCTAGTGGAGATTGAAGTTTTGTTTTTCTGTTGTCACACGCCGTGTTTTTCTCTGACCAGTTTCGTAGTTGCCTTGGCAAGGATGATACGGTTCTATCTAAGATTGTGCGATCGATAAGTAGAGGATATTTTATCTATTAATCCTCTGGTGCCAAGAAAGCATCTAAAGAATATCTTGACTCTGCAAGAGTAGCAGAGCAAAGAGATACTTGATGCGAGATGATAGGTCAAGAGCAAAACGATGATGAATAAGAGCAGGTAGGCACCCAAAGATATATCGATAATCCGTATTGCTTGAGAGAACTATACGCATTCCAAATGGTATTCCAGGTTCAGTCATTGCTTTGCCTTCTCTCTCCCACTTTAAATCTCTCCCATTCGCCTTCTTGATCGGTTCCTTCACCTTTTTGCAGATTGTTTTGGTCTTTTATAATGATTTCTTTCCTTCTGGATTAAACATCCCATTCGATGCCATGGCAGACTTTATTCGTTTTGTTACCCCTCGATGATGCTGATTTTGACTTTGTCGCTTACGCCTTTCAACAAGAGCTGCCCCTTGAAGGTGATCATATTTCGTTTTTTGGCTGCCTTCAGTGTACCTACCAGTGCCTCATAATAATTCGAAACATCGTCGTCGTCAAAAAGTTCCCCAAAGGTTGTGTGCGGCTCTCCTACAATTCCAATGCGACGAATGTCCACCAAAAGCTGGGCGCATTCTTCGTCTAACCGCGTCTGGTCATTCATTCCAATCGGTTTGTTCGTTAATGCGGTTGTTGCGTTTTGGGAAATATTTCAGCCATAGAATGGGCATGATTGGTCAAGTGGAGTGGTATTGGATACCAGGATGATGGAGAAAACGGGAACGATTGGCGTTTTAAGAGCTAAAAAATAGGAGCGTGGTGTCATCGCATCCTTTGGAACGATAGGCAAGACGAATCACATGATAAAAACGTACTGCATATTCCGACAATTCTGACTCCGAACGTGAAATATTGCTTTTGATATCAGCCGATTCCGCCACTGCACATGGATCGCGGTAATGAAGGTTCGAGTAAATGAAAAATACGGGAAGAGAAAGGTCAGAGTTAAGGACCAGAAAGAGCCAGTCCGCTCCGGTTCAGAATACTTCTATGAATGAATTGGAAAGGAAGCTAACACTTTTGGGTGCTTTTGAACTCAAGCGGTGAACTCACTTTCTTCTTGTATGGTTGCAATAGACAGAGGCACTTTCGATCCAATTAAAATCGATCTATGATGCAGTGTGTTGACGACAAAGCTGTGACCTGACGGAACCGAAAACCACTTTTGGAAGACACGCAACAGATCGATTTGAGTTGAACGTGACGGCGACTACAATATTACAGTACCAGTCTTCTACGGCATTATTCAGCACGATTACTTAGATGATGGGTCTTACTTGTTCTGGGCCCTTCGTGATAAACTTATTCAAAAATTTGTTTCGAAAAAAGTCGCAACCCCGACCTTGATTACTACGGTACGGTATGTAGTAGAACTCGTACGTACGTAATACCTACCGACACCGATACTTGCTTTCAAAACATTTGGAATAGTATTGGGCTTCTTGTTGTTGTGCACGCGCGCAAGTATTTAGGAAGTACGGTATGACTAAAAACTCTACTGTAAAACCTACGAGGGGGGGGAAGAGAAACTGGTTATCATTTTTCTCTTCACCCTTTTTTGTATCAATCACGAATAGTTTCATTCCACAATGGACCCAGCTCAACGACGTGTGTTAAAATAATTTCCGGTCGCATAACAGACCAATCTTCACTATCTTCCGCACAACAAAGCTCGTTAAAGTTGAAGTATCTTCCGCCAAGGTTTTCTGTGAAAATTACTTCGTAATACGTTGCGATATCATGGAACTTTAGTGCGGGCTGGATGGTTGTGCATCTCGATTTTCCTTGGCTAACACACTAGCATCATAAATCAACAAAATACASCATCACAATGAAGTCTGCCATCTTTGCCTCCCTCATCGCCACCGCGGCCGCCTTTGCCCCTGCCCAACAGGCCAAGACCTCCTCTGCCCTTCAGGTCAGTGAGCTTGAGCTTGGTGTTACCGAGCCCCTCGGAGTTTTCGATCCTCTTGGATGGTTGGACACTGAGCCTGAGGCCTTCGAACGTCGTCGTGCCGTCGAGCGAAAGCACGGTCGCATTGCCATGGCTGCCGTTGTTGGAACCATCGTCCACAACAACCACATCGTCTTCGACGGATACATTTCCCCCTCGAACGACTTGAAGTTCTCCGATATTCCTACCGGTATGGCCGGAATTGCCGCCGTTCCTTCGGCTGGACTTGCCCAGATCTTCCTCTTCGTTGCTCTTATTGAACTTGCATGGATGCCTGCTTCCCAATACGACGGAGACTACGGAGTAGGATGGTTCGGACGTGACATCGAAGACCCTGAAGAAAAGGCCCGCAAGCTTAATGTTGAATTGAACAACGGCCGTGCCGCTATGATGGGTATCTTSGGAAACATGGTTGCTGAACAACTCACTGGACAAACTATGTTCGAGCAATACTCCGCTGGACACATCTCTCCTTTCGGAGATGGTCAGGGTGTCTTCTAAGTTGGTTGAATGAATAACCGTGTACATTCATTCGATTTCCGAAATAGTCTGCAGGCATATTGCTGTGGGTTTTGAGGTATCGTGTAATACTTCCTCAAGTGATGTAGCTACTACTAATATATTAGAACAACTATTTTAAAACGAAAAGAATTCAAGTTTTCCAAGAATATGTCGTTGCGCGACTCAAACATCTATCAATTTCCTTCCGATCACCAGAAGGTGCTTGGGAAAGATATGACGAAACTGAATTGAAACACCTTTTCTCGCTATCTGAGATCGAGATGATGGACTCGTAGTAACTTGGTCAACTCAATTGAATTGGTGAAAGTAATCGACTCTCGGGGCTCCCATGTTCGCACCCGTAGAAAATTCCATGTGTCGTTTGTGAGGGGAAGATTTTGTGGAGGCACGGGTGAAGCCCGTGTTTCCTCCTTTTTTCACTTTTTTCACACGTGGAAAATCTTTCGAAATCCAGGAAGTACAACAGAACAGGAAATCGCTTGCTCGTCGTCTGCGGAAGATACAATTCTTAACGTAGTATTTTCGAGCCCACTTGAGACTTGAGGGTCCCAGATGGTCATACATTGTCGATGGGTAACACACTACAATTATTGGTTGCTTGAGTCGCAGAGAAAGTCGGAAGCAAAGTTGCGAGTTTGCGCACGCAAACTGTTGGAGGGAAATAATGTTGTACTAACTACAAACCAACATCAAATCCCTGACCTCATTATTTTACATTCTTGTCTCTCACATTTCAAAACTGYAATGGTGGCTCTACTACCATTGTTGAAGGAATTACTGCTACTACTAATAATACTAGTAGTACTATATTGTTTTTGCAAATTCCACCAACCAAAGGACAACCCTCCTTCTTCTGCTAGTACTATTAGTCGTACTACTAAAAGGAAAACTAGTAACAATAGTCAAAAAGATTTTGTATTTGCTGTTGGATGGTTTCCAATTGGTGGTTTGACTGATTGATTTCCAGGTACCAACATCCTGCAGAGAACACAAGTCACTTAGGAGGAGCAATACAGGTACTACTAGTAAAAATGAAATCCAAGAATGATAAAGTTTCATCATCATTTAATAAATGAATTCTCCTCTAGTTTTCTTCAGATGAAGTTGATTTGACATGGACATTATTGTAATAGTATTCACAATAGATAAATTATTGTCATTCTTCCTCCTCCCACTGCTATTTCTTTTGGTGGGCCCTTGGGTACCCAAGTGCGCACATCCCCTATTCGAATTCCTCCCCTAGAAAAACATGGGTTATTTTTGGTGAAAAATAACCCACATTTTAGAATCATGKGTTATTTCATGGGAAAAATAATCCATGTTTCTAAAACTTGAGCTATTTAATTTGAAAAAAAACATGAAAGAAGCAAAGAAACCACAAATCACCCATGAAATACCCTGATAATAACCCACACAATAAATCATGAATTTAAGTCATCTGGGTTGATGGAGAACCAAGGATGATAAGTAGTTAGTAGTCATTAACTTTATTAGAGGAAAAATTCTTCTGAGTAGTACCAGTATCATTCTTACTAGTAGTAGTACTAGTAGGTATTTAGGATAATGCATGACCTTCTTGCGTCATCTACTCTTCTTGGCAATAAGAAAGACAAATGAACACAAAACAAAAGCCTCTTTTTGAACAGGACAATCAATCACCTGCTAGTACCAGTAGTAGTAGTTGTTGTAAGATACTTCTAGTAGTGCTTATGCTTGCTCTTCCTTCTTCCTACTAGTAGTATTGTAGAACCAGGTTTTGTTTCAATCATGAGTCATAGTACCACTAGTAACCTTTTACCCTTTCTGGAAAGAAAAATATTTCTTGCATAGCCATCTTCTTGCTTTTGAATCCTCCTGCTGGTCTTTTACTAGCAGTAGCAGTAGCAGTAGCAGT